TTCCCAGTTTAGTATAAAGATTACCATAAGAAATATCAATAACAAAGCCTAAAAAGGAACAAATGTGCATATTAGCGTTGGTTTTAATAAGAGTTAGATAGGATGGATTTTCGTTTGTGTATTTAAAAAAAAATGGAATTATTTACACAGACAATATCGTCAAATTTCTGTAGATATTGTTATAATAAAAGTGTTGTTTGTGAGAATCTTTATGGAATTTAGCAATAAAATGTAAATCTTAATAAGAGGGGTACAGTTAGACCCCATCGGAATTTCATTCAGCATATGCTCGATATTTACAGTAATTATAGCTCTGTCGGTTACATTTGTTGAACTAAGCCCAATAGGAATGATTTTGGCAGCATTTACATAAAATTTGGTTATAGAGATGCGGACTTAAAATAGTTTACGACGGACCTACGACGGACTTGAGGGTTATGACAACAGCTCGAACACATTGGGAGCTTACCAGAAAAATATGCACCCATGAAATTTTTGTAAGTGCATGTATGACTTTGCTCGACACTACAGTACACTGTACTATATAATTTCGGCCTTTACACCTAAGTACTATAATTTATTTAAGCTAATGACTTTATCTGTCACTTAATTACGGTATTATTAAGTTCTTATTCTTAACTAATTAGTTACGGGTCTTTGTACTTATATCACCATAGTATATCAAAGTAAGATAAATCTTGTCTGCCTGGCATTTAACTATGATATTGTGTAGGTTATTATGCTTAAATTTATATATGGATGTTATAGAACGTTTGCTAAAAGTTAGTTATCATTCTAAATTTAAAATGTTTTTCTACTTTTACAATGTGACCGTAATTCAAGCCCCACATGTTCTTACATTTTATCTAAAATTGCAAGTTTATTCAAAATAATTCCATAAAATTTTCTTATAGGATTTACAATCAAACTAAACTGTCATTTTGCTTTGTCTGCAGTGGATATGTGTATAAGCCAATATCACAAAAGGATCTGCATTACTAGTCTAACGTGAAATATTTATTTTGGCAAAAATGTGAGCATATGTACAATTAAGTTGCCTAAGGTCAATAGCAGAAGTCCCAAGACATTTACGGTGCAAAATGTTACAATAAATATATATATAGTCTACAAGATTGTATCATTGTTGTCTTCAAAAGCAGTGTATACCGTCGAATAACATTTTGATTTGATTGATATTTGTAACTGATTTGCGTACGTAATACGTGGTTTGTGTGCCTTGGTCTTCAAATTAAACTGAGAACATATAAATATTGACACATTTTGCATTTACCGCATCAACAATTGCACCAGAAGCTATGTATGCTATACATCTATGAGATAAACAACCTTACTTTTTAACGTAAATAGTCAATCGAATTCAAGGTTATCGCATAAATGTAATTATCCGTTATTTCGTACAATACCATCTCAAAAAGCTTTTTGGATGTATAACAATAATTTATGTTTTGCAATATGCATGTTAACTATGTAAAGATAGACGATTTTAATAGATTTTTCACTTGATTAGATGTATTTGACATAAAAGTGAAAACGTTTAACCCATTAGCCATCAGTTATTTTGTATTAACCGCAAGAAAATTGGATAATAGTTTAGTGCTTTTGTAAGTATTTCGTTTAATGGATTCAGTGTGTAATAAGAAACAAATTGCTTATGTACTGAATAGTGAGTGGATTACGCAGAAACCACTTGTAACAGAAACCTTCTCATATCCAAAAAATTTTATTTTTAAAGAAATAAACTGGTGTAAGGCTTCAAATAATGTTTTGGACACATCATGTAGGAGGTTTTCAACAAATCTATACAAAATATCTATTTTTATTATTATTTTCCCCGAAAACCACATCTGGCCACAAGTTTCGACATATCGACACAATCAATTTTATATAAATACATCGAATAAATGTCGGGTAGATTAAGTTAAGGTCAAGCAAATTGATTTGAGGGAACTATAATACCTACACGCATGCATATTATATAATTTCGAAAAGTTCAAGTTTTTCGTGAATCTTTTACACCTTGTCTAATGTGGAGACGGTATGTTGACCTCTTAATGCCTTTTGTGATTTTTGTCATGTTGAATTGCTGTCTCTTGAACGCTTTACATAAAACCTGCTTTGATTTATTTTTTCATAAGTTTATATAACACAAATAATACCTACAAGCTGTGTTATACCATCGATATTCTATTTCTTATGTGCACGACTGTCAGTTGAGTTTGGTCTTCACACAACATGCTAAGAAAGTCCCCTTTCCAGATAAAATAACAGGGTCTTTCCCCATATGTCAAGATTTGAAACGTCTGGCCTCTAGACAATGTTTGAATTATTTAACAGAGACTACCAAAAATATGCCATCAATTAGCACCATTCCTTTAAAAACAAAAAATTAATACACTAAAATATGCCCAAATACATCCACTTACGAGGTTTTTAACTTGGGACGGGTTAAATAAATGTTAATGTACTCAATCACTTCCCTTTTTAATGTCGACAAAACACGTGATTAATTACGACAAAACTAAATACTAGTATTACTGTATCAGAGAACGCAGTTACTGAATGTAAGCTTAAAGTACTGAATTTGGTGAAATATCAATTATACTTCTTTGCACTCATGTATCGACTACTGTATTTCAATAAGCGAGTCATGAATCCATCAATTAGCTATTGGTTGAAGGTGGTTATTAATGTCATTAATAAAAAAAAATTCCAGGTGAGAGATTGCTGAAGCTCCTTCTTTTTTATATTATTGCGTGTCGCTTGATAGCTAGAGGTAAGGTGTTAACTTTCATTTTGGACGACATCTTAAAGAAGGAAAAATAGGAATCTTGGAATAACCTAGTTCGAGGTTGCTCTGATGTCTGGAAGCCTTTTTTTGGGACTGACTGGGACTGTAGGTCGTAAGACGTCAGATCAATCTCGAACTAGGAATAACCGTCATATCTGACATATATGACCGCTTATAGTACATTGGAATTAATTTGGCTATGGAATAGAGAAATGACCAAAGACTAAAAATATATAATCATAAGGCACCCGCTTCTTCCATGTTAACTGATCCGACAAAAGAAACTCTAAAAGCGAATGTCATATAGCTGTTTATGTCTCCCTGTACTGATTATTGCGTTGCCACATGAAATCAACCCTGATTGCTGTCTACTCTTCCTGTAGATTATTGCGTTGCTACATGAGATCGGCCCACTTTGCTGTTTATGTCACCCTGTACTGATTATTGTGTTGTTACATGGGATCAACCCTGATTGCTGTTTGCTCTTCCTGAACTGATTATTGCGTTGCTACATGAGATCAACCCTGATTGCTGCTTTGTCTTCCTGTACTGATTATTGCGTTGCTACATGAGATCAACCCTGATTGCTGTTTGTCTTCCTGAACTGATTATTGCGTTGCCACATGAGATCAACCCTGATTGCTGTTTACTCTTCCTGAACTGATTATTGCGTTGCTATATGAGATCAACCCTGATTGCTGTTTTTCTTCCTAAACTGATTATTGCGTTGATACACGAGATCAACCATGGTTGCTGTTTTGTCGTCGTGTACGGTTTATTGCGTTGCTACATGCGATCAACCCTGATTGCTGTTTATGTCTTCCTGTACTGATTATTGCGTTGCTACAAGCGATCAACCCTGATTGCTGTTTATGTCTTCCTGTACTGATTATTGCGTTGCTACATGCGATCAACCCTGATTGCTGTTTATGTCTTCCTGTACTGATTATTGCGTTGCTACAAGCGATCAACCCTGATTGCTGTTTATGTCTTCCTGTACTGATTATTGCGTTGCTACATGAGATCAACCATGATCGATGTTTATGTCATCCGGTAATGTCCATCGCCTTTCTGCATGGAATCAACACCGAAGTACAGAAACCGATATAAGAAGTGTACATTGGACGATGTGATTTCATATCAGTAGATCAAGTCATGTGAACTTGCCTTCCGTAATTTCACGTATTTTTTTATATTGTATGGATATTATTGTTTTCTTGAAGTTTTGTTCTTTGTTATTCATACAATTTTTATAGAGTTTAGGGCTTTCCAGTGCTAGTTTTTTCTTGGACATTCGTTTACGTCCTTTTTTGATGAAATCTAAGCTAGTTTAACCCGTCACATGTTCATGTTCCTCTCACAAGTCGAGAAACTCATCAGTGGTTGTCTTAAATTATATTTTAATGCTTTTTTGTCATTTTGTCATCTGGTATAAATGACAGATCTTTTTATAAACTCCCTTAAATTCATTCATAACTTTTCTAGACTAGGGGGGGGGGGGGGGACTAAAAAAAATATACTAGTATTGTAGAGACACTTGTCTATTGTTGAAGACCGTACAGCGACCTCTAAATGTCTTTTGCCTTTTTTGTGTTGTCCATCTGCTGTCTCATTGACGTATTACACACATTTTAAATTGTTCGCACCAAATAATCACAACATTTTACACTCTTATATCGACCACTGTACTTCTTGATAGCTTTCATACACCCATGTATTTTCTTTCGTATGTGTGAAATATTTGACACTGGACCTTTAGCAATCAAAATTAATACAACCACGTCTTGCATATCATAAGATAAACACGATGTCGTGCAAGTATATAATGAATTAGTGGAAACACGTGCATTATGAACACGCTTAAACTGTAAAATCTATTAGCAGGAACACACGGAACATCAAAGATACCTTGTTTTTTTTAATACTAGTTTGCATGTGCATTATTGCCTTAGCTCGTAATTTTTCTTATTGATTCGTTGAATCAAAGTTTAAATGTGTGTGTTTGTGCGTTTCCCATTAAAAGATGACTAATATTTTACCTGTTAAATAATATAAAAAACTTAAAATGTGACAACTAGATAAATGAAGTACAGTAAAATACTTTAAGTGTGACATATTTCCCACGTGTTAAATGTAATACTATATGCAAATAATACTAAGTAGTTCTGTCTAAAAGACACAACACACTTCATTCAACAAAATAATTTCTATTTATAATAAATTCACATCAAATTGTCCATTAAACGTCAACATTTGTAAAATAGTTATAAAAGCACCAGTGTGTACTGAGTATAAAAATATAAACGGGGAATTCTACAATAATGAGACAACTTGACCGTTGACCTTTTTCATCTGTGTCCATTGTCCAGCAATGTTTGATACGGTCAGGTAGTTTGATATGATAATAAAGGTCACTTGATAAATTTTACTAATATGGCATGTAAAACTTTGATTCTGAATGATATTTAAAACTGTGGTCATCTTAAAGGGCCACCAGATTATGCTGCTAGAGCTTCTGCAGGCGTCTTTGTTTCCAAACTGGGACTCATCCGCACAAAAATGTGATTCAACTAGAGCGTTCTGCTATTAAATATGCGACATTTTATGCTCGAGGCATATGTTACTTAAAAACTTAATTTCCATAATCACTCATTTTCCCACAAAAATGCATAACCACGAAACAATGTTCAGTTAACTGTTAAATAAAATATTGCACAAATCCATGGCCTATGTTTGACCAATCTGATAGCTACTGTCTATCGTTTTCGATGAACTTTCAGATGTTTGGACAAATGGTCTGACCTTGAAAATCTCTTTTCACAAATTTTACACTGGTAAGGTTTAATTCCAGAATGAGATCGTTTATGTCGCGCTAGTTCGTCTGAGCGCGAGAAGCGCCAACCACATCCAGGCCAGGTGCATTCAAACGGTTTTTCGCCGGTGTGTCGACGAAGGTGTGCTTTCAAATGAGAGCTCTTGCTGTACACTTTGTTGCATCCTGCATACGTACAGTGATAAATTTTCTCCTCGTTTTTGTCTTTAGTTGCACTGTTTGTCCTAGGTGTGGAGGTTTTAATATTTCTCATTTTTACAGTGTTTAATAAACTCGATTGCGCTAGTAGAGAATTCGTTGCTAATGTAAACTGTGTGCGGTTAATAAAGGTTTTATTTATATGTGTAAGCGTAGGTGATTTTGATGGCAGTTCTATTTGGTATTCCTGAACAGTTGTACTACTTACACCTAAAGAATTTTTTGCTGCATAGTTGTGCATCAGGTTTTGAAGTCCAACACCTAATACAACGAAATCCTTTTCATTGTTTACAGTTTCATTAGTTTCGTTATTTCCAAAAACATCATCCGTAACTTTCTGTTCTACTACACTTATGTCAGCTTCCGAGCTATCATTTTCCTTGATATGAAAATTGTTCAGATGTGAATGATCCTCGCAAGAAATAGTTGGCATTACAGCAATTGTCTTTTCTAAACTGTCAGCTAATCCCTGAGAAAACAAATATTCAAGATACATTTCATCGTCCATGCTATCTGTGCTCCAAACGCTAGACGGACTACTGCTCCTTTGGCCCTCAGAGCCGATGTCTATTTCGTCACCCGATGAATTTAGTCTCTGAAGAGTATATTGTTCTCTTTCTAAGCTTGACCATAAAGGCATAAAGTCTTCCATTTTATATACATCCAACTTTGAAAGTTTTATAGTTTCACATATATTTTATTATTTGTCGTCTGCTTGACACGACTTCTTCCTTGAGGGTAAAAATGATATCGTACTATATTACAAACTATGTATGTACATAAAAGGTATGCTAGTATATGAATGAACTCAGTCACAGGAAAGTACCTCTGTTGGATTGGACGAGCAGTCACGAGGAGATTGTCACTTTTATATACCCTATAAGTGGGTTTAATTCACTCATTAGCATACAATCCTGTCGGCAAAGATGTGAAGAGACTTGTTGAGAAAATAGGGTCAAAAGTCAAATGTCGACTTCATCCCCAGTCGCTATCTACATCATACATGTAAAACTTGATTAGGACGCATTGCCGTGATATCACCATTATTCAAATTCAAATAATAAATGTTGATAATTTCTATAATCACGTGAAATTACACGTCTGTACATAAATTTCTCATCAAAATCCAGTTTTTCATTCAGTTCGAATTTTAAGATAAAAACATTAATGTTGGAAAGCTTCGTAAACTATCAAAAATAACCACATTACAGATCATTACACTTTAAATCCTCAATACTATACGAATTTACGTTTTTAGTTCATTGATATTTTGGTACTAATAATTTCTAAAAATACACATTACAAATGTTCACATTACTCTTATTTGTTATGTATTTTAAAATAGCCAATCGCATTTACAAATGACAGTGCACGAGACGACGCACCCATCCAGTATATTTCCAATACCAAAATGTAGATTTCTGTAAATACATTTTGAACCTAGGACCACAAGATTTTCACATGTCAAAGTAATGTAATTTAGGACGCAGTAGAACTGAAGAAGCAGCAATATAGGTGGTGTATACTAAAGAACAAGCTATATTGATCAACGAATCAATAAAAAATCAATGCCTACGAGTAAGAAAATCTGTAATCTTCTTTCAGTAGATTGAACGACTTGTCATTCTCTAATATATAATGCAATCTGATGAATCTAACTATTTTATGTTTAAAACTGCTATATATGGAAAGTATGACAAATTAAAAACAAAATCCTTGTAAATTCTATTTATTCCAAGGTTAAAAAATATCCATTGTTGCATTATTTCTAGGTTGAATATCCCATTTTGCACGATCAAAGGTTATAAGGTTGTAAGAATATGAGTATTATTGTAATCAATGAATGTATTATTGAATATTTACTGATTAACCAATTACTTAATTAATTGATTTATTATTTATCTGTTTATTTATTTATCCATCTATCTATTCATCTGTAATCTGATAACATTGACTAAAACAAGTTACAAATGTATTGGTTTTTCGTCAAAAGTTACAAAGCATAAAATAACTATGCATGTACATATACTTGTCCCTTGTCCTATATCATAAGACCGACAATGTCTATTATGCCGGCGTCACACATTGGCGTATAGACCGACGTGCACCAGACGTACAGAGAAAAGTCCGTATACGTTAGGTGCACGCAAGAGGAACGCTAAGCAATCGTTATACGCGCGTTGCATAAGTTTGAAGTACGTCGAAATGGAGAGGTATACGCTTGGTGAACACTATAACTCCAGGAAATTTTTATGCAGCATAAAAATTTTCATCTAGCTTAAGCGTTTGTCAAGCGTATACCTGTTCGCTACACGCACGTACTACATACGTTACAAGCGTGTTGCAAAACCAATGTCTACAGATACGTTTGAGACACGTTCAGGGCACGTTGTATACGCCTCAAGATCGTTCGACTTTTACTTGGACGTATGCCGGGCGTGTTGGTAACATACGCCTGGCGTAGTTTCAGCGTTCTGTGAACGTATAAAACGCACCCGTGGCGTATCAAAAACGTATTCTGACATTCAACGAAACTTGCTCTGACATTTATAGTGGCATATGTCCGTGAAATTACAAGACCAAGTGTATCCAGAAGTAATTCAGACACCCCATAATTACACGTCCCAGACACGCCGAAAGCACGCCGGGATAATCGTCCTATCCGACTCCCAAGTACGACCGGGACGCGTCTCAAATACGTTCAAGGGGCGGTTTTCCTTTGTAGCGTGCATTCCATCTGCGTTAGACAAACGCCAGACATACGCCAACATACGTTACTCAGTCAACGCCCGATAAACGCTTATGTACGCTTCTCGTATGCCCTAAACACGTTTAAAGCTCGTTGTGCACACGATACAGATATGATTGACAAGTTGACTACTTCCAAAATTCTACCGTATTGGCAGCGTACATAGTTTAAGACCACGCCCGGCATACGTCGGTGTTATACGCTGATGTGTGACGCCGGTATAAGTTTGGACAATTTTGTCTTCGTCAAACCATTCATTTTTAGCATTTTGTATGTTTGTTACCTCAGTGACCGAGTGGCGTATTTTACCATCTTCCCTATTACTCAATTGAGTTAGCACTTTGAAGACGACAGCTAACCTCATTGGTATAATACCCACATTTTGTCAATGTCATTCACATGATACATGGTTCTACATTTAACACGTTTTGGTCCTCAATACGAACACATCATACACCCATGAATAAGTACCCGACAACACACACACACACAACATTGTTGTAAACATAACGGTCTTCAAAAGTGAAAAGTACCACATTTCTACCTCTAAATCACTTATGGTTTACCTATATTGAGAGTAGATACTAAAATAACGAATCAATTTGTTAGCCGGCATGGCGTAAAAACGACGAATCAAAGAATTCAACTTTTTATGTAACTAATATAGGACAATGGTGTTGATTAAAAATTACGCCATTCCAGACCATTTTGTTTTCCATATAATAAACATTTCCAATAATTAAGAAGTTCCGGGTCGAATCCGATACCGATACCAATAGAATATGTCATGTAGTTTCCTGTTGTAGTTCTTCTTTATTCTTCCCTCCACAATATGGAGTACCACTACTATATTGTGGTGAGAAAACCAGGACGGGTACAAACAAAAAGATTTTGAAAGCAGAGAAAACTGTTCACCTTATAACCAGCATGACTTTATCAAATGACAATACGAATACTAAAATTTCTAGGCTAAAATAAGAAATAGATACTTAAATTTAGCCACGGGCCCGCGATGTAGCGGGTGTGTTCTGGTGAATATATATATAACAGAAATGCACCCCTCATGAATCAAATAAAATTTTGAATAAATCTAAAGCTTTTCAGTAATTTATGAAAATGTTATAAATACGAGAGTAATAAATATAAATGTATAATACATTTCTAAATCAGAAATGGTTAATTTCGGCATATGTATTCGACGATTATTTGCGATCAAACGTTGCAACTTTTATTTTAACTCAAATACTTTCTGAAGTACAAAATCACAATATAAATATCACATTGTTGAGAGGGAAATAGAGCAGATTGTAACTACAAAGAAAATCGAGGCGGAGCCGAGAAGTGCGATAATGTATAACAAATATCTACCACTAAAGAGGTTACTAATTTGGACAGGCACTCTTTCATATATAAACAAGAAGATGTGGTATGAGTGCCGATGAGACAACTATCCATCCAAGTCACAAATGTGTAAAAAGTAAACAATTATAGGTCAAAGTACGGCCTTCAACACTGATCCTTGGCTCACACCGAACAGCAAGCTATTAAGGGCCCCAAAAAGACTAGTGCAAAACAATTCAAACACATATGTCTGGTCTATTAAACTTTTTATGGTACATACCATTTCCCTTTTGTATTATCAGCTGTAAATGGAATGACAAAATGTACTCTAAAACCCTTTTTTTTTGGGTACAAAATTACTTTGTTAAGTGTAAGTAGATATAAGAAGATGTGGTATGAGTGCCAATGAGACAACTCTCCATCCAAGTCACAATTTGTAAAAGTAAACCATTATAGGTCAAAGTACGGTCTTCAACAAGGAGCCTTGGCTCACACCGAACAGCAAGTTATAAAGGGCCCCAAAAATGACTAGTGTAAAACCATTCAAACGGGAAAACCAACGGTCTAATCTATATCAAAAACGAGAAACGAAGAAACACTTATGAACCACATCAACAAACGACAACTACTGAACATCAGATTCCTGACTTAGGACAGGTGCAAACAAATGCAGCGGGTTTAAACGTTTTAATAGGTACCAACCCTTATCTGAAACAATAGTGTAACATCACAACATAAAAAGACACACTATAAAATATCAATTGAAATGGCTTAACTCAATCAAAAGACATATTAACACAAGTGAACATACACTGAACGAATAAATTTGATCTATAATACAATGTAAATACAAAATCAATAAAATAAGGGGGAGTAGATAAAGGCAACAGTAGTATCCCGCTTTGAGATGTTAAACAATAAAAAAAAAACAACCTTCAACAAAAAGCCGCCAAATACAATAATATACACAGGTAAATGAAAATAATTTTGTTATAAGGTATACAGTTTAAATGGAGAAGTGCATACATGTATTTCCTTATATGCAGTATTCTGAGCTATGATTATAGATATATCTAACCTATGACGAAACAGTAGATTAGATTACCTATAGAAGGAAGGTTTTGCATCACCATCACATAATGTCAAGTTTTCAAATTAGCATGTCATTCTTAGATATAAATGAAAACGGGACTAATAAGTATAGACATGACTGGATAACCACACACCAAGCAAACACGGCAGTAAATTGTGATCTCTGGTTACATTTATACATGGGAAATTGCCTGCTTTACATTCCAAATTCTTTTATGTAAAAAATCAATGACTTCACAGATACTTGCATATCAAGACTCTTGACTAGTTATATCACATGATGAAAATACTGTCGCTTTTATAAAGTTACAAAATCGCCAGTTCTAATTAATCTTACTTTTACGTGAAAACTGACTCATGTATTCTCTGATTGTCATATAAGAATAAAAGGAGTGAGATTAACGCCAATGAGACAGCAATGTAACAAAAAAAAATAAACCAAAGACATATAGATGTCATCATATGGTCAAACTGTTACGGTCAAGTGTTTTTTTATAAATTAAATCGTCTGGCGTCTTAAAAGGCTGTGAACACATTCAAAAGAGACTAGCAAATATCTACCAACAACACCTTCCTTAAAGGATATAAATAAGCAGAACAAAGTGTCTTCGACATTCGAGACATTGGATGGGCACATTGATATGTATACTAAATCCGTTGGATGTTTATACTGATTGATATCATATTCTGAGAGAGCATGATTTATCTATAGTAGTTTACAGTAGCTTTGGTCTAGCTTTTAGTGATTGCGAGTACTATTAGATCGATACTATGGGTCTTCCATCATTTTTTGTTATTTTTTTTTTTTGGTGCTTCGGCCGATCTGATGTTTCAAGTCCTTTCTGACTGATTTTTACAATTAGAGAGTATGTTGTGCTGTTACACCACTGTCCCAGGTTAAGGAAGGGTTAAAGACTGCCTGTCCCAAATCAAGAGTCTATAATTCAGTGGTTGTCGTTGGTTGCTGTCTGTCATATTTGTTAATTGGTTTTAGCAATAAAAAGGTCATTGTGTTTTTCTGGTTTTTTATTGTTTCACATTTTGTCATGCCTGGGCCTCTAAGCCTTTCGGCTCTAAT